GTCAACCTTGAGCCGGTGAGATTAGAACCGCTGAACTGCAGATAAGAGTCAGCTGAAGTGGCCTGCAGTACTGCACCCTAACCACTGCGCCACCTACTACAGGTAGTCCTTGACTTATGATTGGAATATAGCCCGAAATTATGGTTCTACGTTGTGTCATTCATTAAGCAAAACACCATGCCTGATTTTATAATCTGTTTTGTAGCCGTCGTTAAGCGAACAAGGCAGTCGTTAAATGAATGATGCAGCCATTAAGCAAGTGCAGCGGTTGTTATAAGTCTAGCTATTGCTATTGCTTGGGTGGTGGATGGGGTTGGGTTGGACCTTCCAACTCTGTTAATCTGATTCACTGAACAACTATGGCAAGAAAGGTGGTGAAAAGGTACAAAACTCAACAAATATCTCACTTACCCACAGAAATTTGGGGCGCAGTTGTGGTCGAGGACCACCTGCATGGAAAGCTGCATCATCCACAATAACAAAGTTGAAATCACAACCTCTAGGGAGGCTAAGTCAGGGCACCGTGACCTTCACACTATCAGCAGCGATGTTTTGGTAGAAATATTCTAAAGGAATATTCCAAAGGAAATCCACTGGCTGTCATCACCCTCTAGTGGTTTTTATTAAAAAGCATGGATTAGAACATGGAAAGGCCCATAAAGAGAGGGAGCCTTGTTGAAAAGAAGGGAAGAGAATAAGCTGGTAGCTGCAAGACAGGATAAAGGTAAAGGTTCCCCTCACACATATGTGCTAGTCGTTCCCGACTCTAGGGGGCGGTGCTCATCTCCGTTTCAAAGCCGAAGAGCCAGTGCTGTCCCAAGACATCTCCGGGGTCATGTGGCCGGCATGGCTAAATGCCAAAGGCGCATGGAACGCTGTTACCTTCCCACCAAAGGTGGTCCCTATTTTTCTACTTGCATTTTTTATAAGCTTTCGAACTGCTAGGTTGGCAGAAGCTGGGACAAGTAACGGGAGCTCACTCCATTACGCAGCGCTGGGGATTCGAACCTTTTCTGATCGACAAGCTCAGCGTCTTAGCCACTGCGTCCCTTTGTGAGACAGGATAGAAGTCCTCAAAACATGGCTCACGAATTACAGGTAGTTTGAAGTCCACTCTTTTTAAAGCCGGCAAGGATGAGAAACATTGGCCTAAGGCCATCGCAGAAAAGGAATTTGACTAGAGGTAGTCCTCGACTTATGACCACAACCGAGCCCCAGATTTCTGTAGCTAGGTGAGACAGTTGTTAAGTGAGTTTTGCCCCATTTTTCCACCTTTCTTGACACAGTTGTTAAGTGAATCACTGCAGTTGATAAGTTAATAACTCAGCTGTTAGATGAATCTGGCTTCCCCATTGACTTTGCCAGGTAGTAAAAGGTGATCAGAGGATCCCAGGACACACGACCGTCATAAATACGAGCCAATTGCCTAGCATCCTAATTTTGATCACGTGACCGTAGAGATGCTGCATTGGTTGTTAAGTATGAAAAACGGTGCCAGGTCACTTTTTCCCATTGTAATTTCACATAGTTGTAAGTCAAGGACTACCTGTATATTTAGCTGGGGGGAAAGTTGCAACCCAACACATCCAGAGTTCAAGGCCTTTTTTCACGAATGCAATAAACACAATCAGCTCACTGCAAATCCAGTTTTTAAACGCAGTTTTTATTCCCAGGTTTGAATGAGACACAACAAGCAGGAGAGGAAGGTTTATTATTCATCAAGAATTTTTCGGGTTTTTTTCCTCCTCCTGGGGAGGACACAAACACACAAAAATCCCACAAGCATCCCAGTTTAGCATCGAGGTGCTCTCTTAGCCTGCTTTATTTTTAAAACTGAAAAAACATTTTATTGCGTTGTTTTAATACAAGCTTACTGTATTAAAATCATTTTTAAAAAAAACTCCCAACTTAACAGTAGCTGGTCCCAATAAACAATCAAAGGACCATGCCTGAAATGATCATTTTGCAGTTCAGTAATTAAAATATTGCTGATTTATTGGGTCCCCCCTCAAAAAAAAAATTTTTTTTTACTTGACACAATACCTCTGTGTAACATACTGACCAAATACAGTAGCAGTGTTTCTCAAACCTTGGGAACTTTTAAGGTATGTCGACTTCAACTCCCAGAATTCCCCAGTCAGCCATGGCTGGCTGGAGAATTCTGGGAGTTGAAGTCCACATGCCTTAAAATTCCCAAGGTTTGAGAAACACTGCAGTAGCAGAATAATAATAATTATTCATTTATTTGGGCTGAACAAAGAAACATTCAGTTCTTATTTCTCCTAAGTACCATCCTATCCAAATACAATACCTTCTGTATTTAACTGGAAATATTACTTTAAAACGGATTTGCGCTGGTATATGATCCCATCGGAGGTTAAGAACTGCAACGGATTAAATGTTCAATATGACCTGGATTAATTTATTTGGGGGCGGGAGGGAGAGTATCTTTCTTGTCTATCCAAGAAGGGCCAAGTTTTACTAATTTTTGTTTGCAGCTACTGCTCTACATTGCACTCTCTCCAAGTACAGCTGCTGTCTCGTTACATTTTTAAGATGCTAATGGAGCATTTTCTGCTCTCCATTTGTAAACATGTTTTTTTTTCCAATTGCTAAGCAAACTGTAGTGGTTTTGTGTTGCTTCTCCCCGGGAGAAGAAGGGATGGGTCAACGTGAATCAAGTTGAGCCTTAAACAGGGGGTCAGTGAAATGGAATCCACTGAAAAAAAGGAAAAGAAATTTCCTTGCAAAAATTACCAGGTGCCAGCACCGTGTTTATAGTCGTCAAACTTAACTGCTTGAGTGTTTGCTTGCTCCAACGGTTTATGGAATGATATTGCTTCACCAACAGCCAGATTCAAAAGCAGGCAGCCATATATATATATTGGTCTCAATGACACAACCAAAGGAAAAGTAGAAGAGGAAATCCAGGCAGAGGCCAAACGAGGTGGGCCGCCTGCAGTTCCTTAACGCAGAAGCTGGTGAATGATCTGACCTGGTGGGCTCTGGTGTCCTCCAATGTGCCACACCCCCTCACCTCCTGGACTCAGGGCGGCGCCCGCCGCAAAGTGCATCCTTGAATTTTCCAACCGTAAGAAGGTCTCCAGCTTTCCCGAGAAGAAAGATCCCATCCCAAGCGGAGGCGGCCGGTACCCGCTTCAAACTGTGAATGGCAGCTTTGCATCTCAGCTGCTGGTTCCAAATTGGCGACCAAGGTAGAAAGACCCACCACCCTGAGGAATCCCTCGTAATTTTTTTCTCCCACTGCGATTTTGCAACTCCAGGCAGATACATTCACTGTCATGGCTGTACGACTGTTCTCTTGTTCGAAGGGCCTGGAAGAGGAAGTTTCACACTGCTGGGTTTTCACGTCGCAAGGAGCTTCAGGGATTTTTTTCTTTTTCTTTTTAAAGTTAACAGAGGTTTGAGTTTCTTCTTCCCTTGGTGAGACGGCTTCTTCTCTGGTCCAGCTGGAAAACCCACCAGTCCTGTTATCACCTAGAGAACAAAACAACGGCATTAAGACTCAATTGCTGCACTCAATTCAGTACAGGCAGTCCTGGACGTACAGTTCATTTAGCCACCTTTCAATGTTACAACGGCACAGGAAAAAAAGTGACTTATGACTGTTTTTCACATTTATGACCGTTGCAGCATCCCTATGGTTCATGCGATCAAAATCCAGATGCTTGGCAACTGGTTCGTATTTATGACGGCTTGCAGTGTCATGTGATCCTCTTTTGTGACTTTCTGAGAAGCAAAATCAATGGTAAATCCAAATTCACTCAACAACCTGTTACTAACTTAACTGTGGCAAGGAAAGTTGTAAACTGGGGCCAACTCATTTAACAAATGTTTCACTTAGCAACCTAAATTTTGGGCTCAATTGTGGTCGTTACTTGAGGACTACCTGTAGCTGGCTGCCTTTTAAAGTAAGTTCGGTTTTAGTTTCAGCTGGACTAAATGGGCCCAGCTGACATCAAGTTCTGTACGTCAAAGTCCTACTTTCAGTTGGTAGAGTGGATTGGTTTGTGGCTTTAGTCTGTATTTTGAAATATGCAGATTGTCAGGAGACAATTGTGCCTCAAAACAGCCACTTTGACTGCTTACAGCAGCAGAAACTTGCAGTTACACCTTTCAACCTAATTTTTTTTTTAAAAAAGGATCAGATTATTTGACCATTGCAACTGAGATGTCCCTACTTAAACCTCAGGATCTGCCCCAAAGATCTTTTTTGTTCCCGTAAGATTAATTCAGCGAGCACACACTACATAATCATTGACGTATGACCATAATGGAGGCTGCCCATCATGGTTGTAACTTGTGAGAGTCAAAAGACGGGTCGGACACATGACTGATCCACTCGATGACCTTATTTTGCAGCCGTCATTAAGCCAATACCGCAGTCATAAAATGGCTGCCGTACTCGTTAACTGGACCAATGATTTGCTATTGGCAGAGTTATGATGGCAAAACCATCATCAAGCATGGTCACGTGATCACTGGATGTCGCCAACAGCCAGACAGGTGCTCCAGCTGCCACACACCTGATGTCCAGTCATGTGACCACAGGAAAGGGAACTGTGGTAACTTTGAATCCAGCTAATAACTAGCCCCCAGATAGGCCAACCATCACTTCCTACAGTCACTAAGTGACCAATTGTAAGTCGAAGACTATCTGTATAGCACCGGGGTAACTCTTCAACTCAGAAATTCTGTGGAATTTTGTTCCCGCTGGGGTACTTCCTTTGTCAACATTTAAACAGCCTTTAGTTAATTTTTCTAGTCTTAACATCAATAATCATCAATAATAGGGAGTCAAACTATTCTCCAAGGCACCTGAGGGTAGAACAAGAAGCAATGGGTGGAAACTAATCAAGGAGAGAAGCAACTTAGAACTGAGGAGGAATTTCCTGACAGTTAGAACAATTAATCAGTTTGCCTCCAGAAGTTGTAAATGCCCCAACACTGGAAGTCTTTAAGAAGATGTTGGATAACCATTTGTCTGAAGTTGTGTAGGGTTTCCTGCCTAGGCAGGGGGTTGGACTAGAAGACCTCCAAGGTCCCTTCCAATTCTGCTATTGTATTATTGTATAATCCAAAGGTGGCTTGGCTTGTCAAGAGGCACAACAGTTGCAATGCTTTAAGTGGGTGATCTTAATTGTTGAGGTGCTGTCTGGTTTGATTGTGTTTTAATTTTTTTAATGTAAGCTGTGTAACAAGGTCGTGTGTCCCTAAAAGACAGCATACAAATATTTCTATAAACAAAATTATACATATATAGCTTACATAAAAAAATTAAAACACAATAAAACCATACAGTGTGTTTGGTTTCATTACCATAGCTATACATCTTAATAGCAGATACTTAAGTAAAAGCCAGAAAAGGAAAAAAGCATATTTCCACCAAAATTTACCTTGGGTATATAATCGTATTTGTTAAAAGCTACCATTTACTGTAAAGCTTCCTTGCCTAAAGGAGATTTCATTTCACCGCAGGAAGCCAGATAATTAGCTACAGTTGCAACTTTGTATATTATTTCACTTACATTTAATAATATCAGATAATATTCAAATCGATCAGATTTTTTAATTTGAATAAACGTGCCTCTCTTTAGTTGGATTACTACCCTCTCACTGCATAATTTTTTTCAGTCACAGATTACTCTGAGGATTAATAGAATTTTTCAGCAGGGCTCAATTTAGCTCCAGCCTTGAGAAGGCGGGAAGAGGGAACAGGAACAGAGAAAGCAAAAGGAGTAGGAAGAGACTCCGACTCTCAACTTGCCGTGTTTCTGTCTTTCCTTCCTTCCTTCTTCCTTCCTTCCACATATTTAATACTCCTTCCCCCTTCTATTTTCCCCATAACAACCACCTAAGTTGTTGAGAGAGGGACTAGCTCAAGTCACCCAGCTGGCTTTCATGCCCAAGGCAGGACTAGAACTCACAGTCTCCTGGTGATTAGTCCAAAATCACCCAGCTGGCGTTCCTGTCCTATTAACTCCCTTTTAAACTTTAAATACTAAAATCTTACATTATTTAAAGTTTAAATACTACTTATAAGAGTTGCTGGGAATTGGGGCGTATGTAAGTTTAATAAATTATTCTTAAAATGCCAACATTCAATATGGAAGAAGAGAAATTACAGATCCATGCACATCCTGGCAATACGAGGAACAAATCCGTTTAAAAACTTGAAATAGCAATAGAACTTAGACTTATATACCGCTTCACAGTGCTTTACGGCCCCCTCTAAGTGGTTTTACACAGTCAGCTTATCGTCCCCAACAATCTGGGTCCTCATTTTACCCACCTCCAAAGGATGGAAGGCTGAATCAACCTGGTGAGATTCGAACTGCCAAATTGCAGGCAGCTGGCAGGCAGCAGAAGTAGCCTGCGGTGCTGCACTCTAACCACTGCGCCACCGCAGCTTAATAAATTACTCTAGACAGATTTAACTAATTAACTGAAGTTAACTCCCAAGTCCATAAGTTGACCAGAGAAATAAAGAATATAAACATGCAGTTCAACAGAACAGTCATAAAACGGTTTCTACAGGCTGACTATGGCTAAACTTGAGGTTTCCACAGAATTAACTTCAGAGTCACTATCCATAGCATTACATTTGCATGTTCTTTCTCCTTGATTTCAAATTGCCTGGCTTGTTTGATTTATACAGTTGCCCTTCTCAGTTGGCTAATTTTGGACAGCTTACAATTTAACAATTACAAAAAAAAAAAATACAACCAAGCCACATAAAGAATGTCTAGGAAACCAATACATATTAAATTCTATTCAAGTACTGAAGCCATTGAATTAAGCATCATAATCCAGGCTTGCAAACATAATCAGAAGGGCCTTAAAGTCTCCAGCCCTGAACAAAATAGGCAAAAAGTAATTAATATGCAAAGAATCTATAATTCCTTGCAATCCAGTCACACTATCCTGCAGCCCCGTCCCTAGGAATCAATTGTGTTGCTGCAGCAAACCAAAGAATACACAATGCAACTAATTCTCACCGTCTCACATTCCTTATTTCAAATACCGTATCTTCATCACTCTCCAGAGAAGCCATCTCCATGGGATCTTCCGAGTTGGAGAGAAGTCCGTATTTTTTCCGTGGAGGTTTCCTTGTCCTGCGAAACAAGTCTATAATCAGCCACAGAATTTATTCACAGAGTTCACAAATCCATAGGATTGGCCATCTTCCTCAACTAAGGGGGAAGCTGTTCCACAGGGCAGGTGATTTGACTAAGAAGGCACAACATAAAATGACAACTGTTCCATAAAATGACACCGCTTTACAGAACGTCCTGGGCAGGCCCATTTTGCCATATCTAGTGAGACAGTTGGGAGACTACTGATCACTCAAGAATCCTGGCCCCATACCATAGCTGGCACCTTACATTGTACATGGAAATGTACTGAAAGCAAGAATAGCGTCAATAATAGTGGGGTGACATGGGTGCACAGTGGCACCCCCCAAACCTGTCCAAGCTGCCACATTCTGGATCAGCTGCTTTTCAAAGGCAGCTTTATGTAGAGCATGTTGCAATAATCCAACCAGGAAGTGACGAAGGCATGTGTGACTCTGAGTCTCTCGATCCAAGCACAACTAGACAGAGTTGCTGAAAAGCTTCCTGACCACAGCTGGCATCTGCTCTTTAAGACTCAACCATGAAACTAGGAGCACCTCCAAATTTTACCCCACTTTAATCTAAGAGAGTAGAATCCCATCCAGAACTAGTTAATGGAAAGTATCCAGAAGCCTTTTAGTACTGTTTCATTACTTCTGCCAGTTGTAGAGGATTCCCCCTGAAAG